AATGCAAAGCAAAAGAGCCCATTTTTTTGTCACCACCGACTTTGAATTTGGCTCCAATCCTTTACTCTTCCAGCTTATTTTTCTTAAACTCTACCTGTTCTTCCTCCAAAACTAATTAAAATCTAAATCAAACCAAAACCCATTTCTTATCTCAAGTCAACATAGTCAAAATGACCAAAATTTCAGATCCAAAAATCCCAACTTTCCCTTCAAACCCAACACCAAAAACACAGAAAAAGAACAAAACCAACAATCTTTTTATACAAGAAGTGCATTTCAGCACCTAGAATTTGTACCTTCAAAATAGGTTTTGAGAACGCTTTCAGCTGGCAAATTGTAGAGAAAGAACACTCAAAACTGATGCTCTTTTAGAAAAGTTCATGGAGATGATGCGACAACTTGCACTGTTGAGTTTTTTAATATAAATATATACATGAAAAGATATAATTAATATATTTAAATCATATAACTGACATTCAAAAAGCTTCATTTTTCATTGTTTTCTTTGTTTGGTTTGATCTAAATAAGGTTGGGTATCAAATTCTATGTGCCCTAGTTGTACGTTTACCGGCATTTTAACTAGTCCCATAGTTGCACGTTTCTTCAATGATTCAACCTTTGATTGAGTTAATACGATTGGTAAGTTATTGGTTAACTCAGCTAACTCGGAAGAAACAATAGTTTCAAACAGAACCGCACGTTTAATGTTTGTTGTCCTATTTGCCCAAAGACAAAAATCACGTGTCCTAAGAGAGAAAGTACCTTAGGCTGTCAAAAATCGTCCTGACATAGTTTCAAAGAAACTTGATAAATCCAAAAAGCTATAAACTTAGCTTAGCTTTTCTGTTTAGAGTTGCTTTTCTCATACAAAGCAGAGAACCATCATTGATCATTCCAACCGTCCTACACATCCAAACATTCATTAATGGATGGTTGGACACATGGGGCACCTGCAAAGAAAATGAGTCCAATAATGGAGTTTAACAAGTAGGTTTTCAAGGTTTATGAAACTAGCTAGGCTTTAATTAAAGTTACATCAAGGGGTTGGGGACTGAGAATCTCAGAGAGATTCAGACCAGAAACAGGCCATGCAAACTTACAAATGCTGGAAAATAGATGGCTAATATTGATGCTAGTCAGGAGCCAGTTCCAGCACAATTATTTTGGATCCATGCATGTGCATATGAAGTCCAAGAACACCATGGTACATATTCCATTGTTGATGCACAGTGCCATTTTTTGTTTTCTTGTTAGCAAACAATTTTACTACAAATAACCCACTAAGATAAAATGTCATCATATCAGCTTGGAAAGAGAAGGTGTTTAAACCAAGTTCATGTGATTAATCATCATTTCTTCCATAAAAAAAGTGACCCCAAACATGACTTAAAGCATAAAAACCCTTTGGTCACATGAATGTGGGTCTGAATCACACGAGGGGATATTGGAAGATTAATGCTGGCTTGAAGGGGAAAAACAAAACTTCAATATTCAAATACAACTGGGATATTGAGCATTAAAGCCTAGACTGCTTAATTATGGGTTCCATGTCAAATTTAATTTGAAGCTGTAACTTGAAATGAATACCAAACAAAACTTAACGTTACTAAAATCCTCTAACATGTAGAGACTTTCACACTTGGGGAAAAAAATCTTCACGTCCCAAAAAAGAAATGACCAAATATTACTCATCAACTGTCCTTGTGAACATTTTTTTAATATTGGTTTTATATTAATCAGATGTGCTAGTTGCTAATTAAATTGAAAGTTTATAATAAATGACTGACTAACATTAGTTATAATATCTAAACATAATTAGGCAGTAATTAATCCAATTTTTTTCTAAGAAAGTAATAAAAAAAATAATTGCAGGTATTAAAATTTAAATATCAAATCTATTACATATCATTTTTTAAAATGATAATATGAACTAATTAAATTAAATCGTTAATTGAATCAATTTTCACAGTGGGGCTAGAATCACTTCCCATGTTGAGATAGATTATTAGGGTCATGGGATGATGGCCTATTTGATTCAAATCATGCACATGTTATCACATGTTCACTTTTATATACTGCTCATGGCGCATTGACTTGGCTGCAATAAAAATGAAATTTCATCCATTCTTAAAAGATTAAAGTTAATGCATATATCTTGAAATTTTTATAGTATGTCTTAGCAATGGATTGTTAATTGTTAACATAAATTATAGCTAAAAATTATTATTATTTGAAACTTGAAAAAATATATAAAAATGTGACACCCTAATCTCTATCAAAAGATATTTGGAAACTGTTACTATATATAAATAGAGATTTAAACACAAATTTGTGAGATATCTTTTGTGAAATAAAATCGTGAGATATTCTAGTTAAAATGATTAATATCTTGTAAATTAGATGTGAATCTTCACAAATTATATAAAAGTGATTATTAGTCTAACGATAGCTAAATGCTACACTACGAGTCACTTTTAGAATCTTGTATGAGCTAAATGCTATACGGTAAAGGTCACTTCTAAAATTTTAACGTCTGATATGATTTTAATTTTATGATTATATATGTATGATTCTGTGGTTCTATTTGTACTTTTTATTGGATTCGACAAAATGTTAAGTTTTAATAAAAGAGCTTACAATATTTTAATACCACATCGAGAAATTTTGAAAATTTATTATGAATTATAAGTAAAAATTTAAATTTAAACTTGTAAAATATTATTTACGAGATAAAATCATAAAACTTTTGAATTAAAGTGAATAACACTTCCTAAATTAATTACAGGTTTAAAAAAAAAAAAAAGAAAAAAACAAAAACCGACCAAAAGAAAGAGACATGGCAAGAGCGCTTAAATCATTAGGTCAATCGTCGGCCAACCGGTTATGCATGAGATGCACGCTAAGTCTAGCCTTATACACCACATTACAAAAACCGACCGAAAGAAAGAGACATGGCAAGAGCGCTGAAATCTTTAGGTCAATTATCGGCCAACCGGTTATGCATGAGATGCACGCTAAGTCTAGCCTTATACACCACATTCTCCACGGATTTTTTTATACTTCATATCAGAGTGGTTTGGGTCATACTTCAAATCACCCAAAACATTAGCCTCTTTATTTAAGCTCAAAATCACTTCGATAACTTTACTCAACAAGAAAGACGGAAAGGAATCATTTGATACATTATCATCCACCCTACTCGTGTTTTATATGCGACACTTGCTTCTCCTTCTGCGCCAAAGACGACAAACCATGTGGAGGTTGCTCAAAATTTTTTATACGAGAATGAAGGATGATGTTGGATATATCTGACAAGTTACATATTTTTATCGTGTAAAATATCGATAATTTTAGTATTTTTTATTTTTTATATAAAAATTATATATTATAATTTATATAAATATAAAAAAATAAAATATATTCTTTTTAGTTTTATTAAATTTATATGTAATTTTTATTAATTTTTAAATTGTATCACTTTTTTATATTTATTTTATATTATTTTTATATCATATTATTATATTATATTTTAAATTATTTATGATAATAAAAAATAATAAATAAATATCCAACTCTAATACAATTATTTAATTAGATACGAATCAATTCCGTGAGATAATCTAAAGATGATCTAAGATGACCGTTGCCAATGCTATCCTTGAAAAATATACTAAAATTTGAGTCCAATTTTGGCTTATGTGAAATTCCGACCACCTTTAACTTTTTTTAATCAAAAGATTTTTACTTTTTGGTAAATGTGATTACTATTTTGACTAAAAATAAATTGGTGGGTACCGATTGCTACCATTTTAGTTGAAATTAGGTTGTAATTATATAATGATTGATATGATTGATGAATACGAATATAATATGATATAATTTAAAATTTTAATAATAATTATATATTAAAATAATGAAATAAAATTTTAACAAAATAATTATAAATATTTAAAAAAATTTTATACTTTGTCACCCAAAACATTAGCCTCTTTATTTAAGCTCAAAATCACTTCGATGACTATGCCTGATAAGAAAGTTGAAAAAGAATCATTGTTACATTATCATCTACCCTACTCGTGTTTTGTATGCTACACTTGCTTCTCTTCCTGTGCCAAAGACGACAAGCCAGAGGTTGTTCAAAATTTTTGATACGAAAACGACGGATGATGATGGATAGATATGACAATTATCATATTTTTATTATATAAATTATTAATAATTTAAGTATTGTTTTGTATTTTACATAAAATTTGTATGTTGTTGACGTAAAAAAATAAAATATATATTTTTAATTTTATAAAACTTATATCATTAAAATTTTAATTTTTACTATTTTTTGTAATTTTATTTTGTATCATTTTTTTAATTGTGTCATCATTTATATTTTAGATTGTCAATGATAATAATAAATAATAAATAAATAGATATTCAATAGTATCTAATCCAATTATTTAATTAGATACAAATCAACTCCATGAGATAACCTAAAGATGATCTAAGATGACCGTTGCCAATGCTATCCTTGAAAAATCCACTAAAATTTGAGTCCAATTTTGGCTTTCGTGAAATTTCAACCTTGTTTATAGACAAATTGGTACATGTGATTAATCTAAAGATTAAATATTTTTAATATAAAGATTTTTTACTTTTAGCACATGTGATTAATATTTTGACTAAAAACAAATTGGTGGGTACCGAGTGCTATCATTTTAGTGGAAATTAGGTTTTGATTATATAATAATTACTATCTTTAGTGGATACGAATTTGATATAAAAATAATATAATTTAAAATTTTAATAATAATTATACATGTATAATAAAAATAATATATAATTTATATTTTTATATTGATACGAATTATAATATATATAAATAATAAAATAATTTTTTTAAAAAAAATAAATTATTTTTAAGGTTAATTTTCATCGTGAAACACGTGTCTCAAGTGTTGTCGGCCACAAACTAATATGCACTTCATAAGCTAATAATAATTCCAAAATTTACCTTATAAAAATCTAACTCGGAAAATATATAGTATTCATTAAATGATTTGCGTTTCCCACAATTCCTCATATACCAAAAGGCAAAAGCTCCTTTCTTTTTTAAAGCTTGAAGCTTCCTCACATTTCATCCATGGCAAGAGCTCTCTCCTACATCAATGGCAACGCAACGTTACCTGTTCCTTGTAGACCAAATCCCAGCCGTCCATGTGCTTTACTGTTGCCTTATAGGCCTTTGAAGGTTACCGTGTCATGCAACCGGTCTTATTGGGCCTCCATAAACTCAGACATCGAAGCTCATCTTAAGAAGGCCATCCAGGCACGAGAACCTCCCTGTGTTTTTGATCCCATGCACCATTTGACGTTCGCCGCCCCACGGAACACGGCGCCAGCGTTATGCGTGGCTGCATGTGAACTCGTTGGCGGCCACCGGGACCAAGCTTTGCCAGCGGCATCCGCACTTCACCTCATTTATGCAGCTTCATTCACTCATGAGCATCTTCCATTGACAGAAAGCTCCAGGCCCAAGTCAGCGATTCAACATGTCTACCGACCAAACATCGAGTTACTGATCGGGGATGCAACGCTACCATTTGGGCTTGAGCTATTGGCTAAATCCGATGATCCAAACCAAAATAAGTCAGATCGAGTTTTACAGGTAATGGTTGAGATCACACGTGCTGCAGGTTCGCAAGAAATGATTTATGGGCAGTACTGTGAAGTAGAAACTTGTCAATCGGACAACAAAGAGTCATGCCATTCCCACATCGGAGAGATCGAACGTATCTGTGAGAAATACGATGGAGCAATGCATGCTTGCGGAGCTGCATGTGGGGCAATATTAGGAGGTGGAAGTGAAGAGGAAATAGAGAAAATGAGAAGCTATGGTCTATACATCGGAAAAATACAAGGAATGATAAACAGAATTGGAAGCCATGACAAGGATTTGAACAAATTGGTGGATGGGCTAAGAGATTTGGCTATCAAAGAATTGAGAGGTTTTAATGAGGCAAAGGCTAAAGCAATATCTAGTTTTTTTTAGTAACTCTTTGGTGGTTTTTTATAATATGATAATTCATATATTTGTGTAATGTAAAATATTAAAATTCGTATTTTTATATTATATGTTACACAAAAATTATATAATATAATTTATATTATCATAAAAATATAAAATATATATTTTTATTTTATTAAAATTATATATAATTATTATTATAATTTTAAACCGTATAATTTTTATATTTTATTTTTATAATATATTCATATCGTATTATTATATTATATTTTAAATTTTATATACTAATAAACATAGATGATATAGAACTACAGACCATGACACATTGGCTTTTTTGGTCTTCTTGTAACAGCTTTGTCTCTATGTGATCAATGATTATTTTTGTAGGATTTGAACAATGAAGAAAAATGGGTGTGGTCCAAATAATCTGGTTAATAAATCTGTCAAAATTTGTACATGATGTTTTCTGGTTCACAAGAACAATGATTTTATGTGGTGTGAGTTCTTCAAAGTCGACTATACGTTCCTTTCCTGCCAACCGACAAAAGCACCAAGTTTGACGGCCTTCTCTGAATCCAAATGCACCAAAATGCGCTTAAATTTACTGTACTGTACTTCCAGGCAGTTTAACAGATAGACGATGAAATTAATTTTAATGACATTAAATATAATAATAACGGTGATATTATTTATGATAATAATAAATTTGAGTATTATAATAATGAGATATATGTTTAAATGTGAAAGTAATTATTATTATGAAATAAAAATAAAAATAACTATTGGAGATATTAATTTAAAAATAAAGCAAAAAAATATTAAATTTATTTAATATTAAAAATATTAAAAATTAATTTTTTAAAAACAGAAAATAATGTGAGTAGAAATAAAATATCATTTTTTAAATTGACTAAAATTACTTTAATTTTAATAATTTAATTCTAGGGATAAAATTAGATTAAAAATGTTAAAAGGACAAAATGTAAAAAGTTAGGTGCAGTAAGTCTTCTCAAAGTGGAAATTTACTGGACAAAACTTACATAAAGTTTTTAAATAAAATTTATGAATTTTTTAAAAAAATTATTTAATAAAAATTTTAATAAAAAATTAAAACAAATAGGGTAATAAAATTCGATGTAAAAATTAATAATATATAAAATATTATTTATAATTAAATTTAATCGATATTTATTTAACGATAAAAATTATGTTAATGTTTTTATTAAAAATATTTATTTAAAATATACATAAAAATTTATTAAATTTTATACAATTAATTTATATAATAAAATTTTTTGAATTTTGATTTTGAATTTTAATTTTTAATTAATTATTTTTAATAAAAATTTTACAAACTTTATCCAAAAAATTTCATTTAAATCTTTCCAAATTTGCTGCCCCACCAATGCCACATCAGTCCACTTCAGATGTACTACTGTTACTCAAATAAATAATTGGGGTGTAATTGCAGCAAAAAGAGAAATTTTCACCGGAGGGGAGGGGTGTGGTGGTTCACTTGCACCCCAAATTGGACAATTATGGCCTCATGTTTTCATTTTTAGTTTAATTATACCCTTGATTTTTGTTTCGTAAATACCTCCAAATTTTGTGTTAATGTTTTTTATTGAATAATTTTTCATACATTAAAACTATCAAATAAATATAAATATAGAAAAAATCATTTATTAATACAGTAACTTTTAGATTAACACCTTTAACTGTAAATCAAATATTATTGATTTTTAATAAAATTATTATTTGATGTAAAAATAATTACAATAATTTTAATTAATTATTAACTCATAATTTTAATTTATAATTTTAATAATCATTTTTATCCGTAATACACTTCACCTCATCATTACTATTTTTAATAACTACAATAAATTTTAATTAATAATAATCCAAATGGATAAAAAATGTGCTTAAGTTCATTGTATAATTTTTTCAGTTGAATCTAAATATGATTTAAAATTCTATTTGATGGATGATGAGATTGATTCGAATGATATTAAAAATAATATTTATTTAATATTTAAGATATTAAAAAAATTAATTTTTTAAAGACAAAAAATAATGTGAGGAGAAATAGAATATTGGTTTTTAAGTTCACTAAAATTATTTTAATTTTAATAATTTAAATATAAGGATAAAATTGGATTAAAAATATTAAAAGGACAAAAATGTCAAAATGAGGTGTAGTGAGACTTGCTCATCAGTGGAAATTTGCTCTCCCAACAGTGTCACACCTGCCTAATTAAAATGTGCTATTGTTACTCAAATAAATAATTGTGGTGTAATTGCAGCAAAGGACTCGATAAAATTAATTTTAATGAGATTAAAAATAATAATAAAAATAAAATTAATTATTATTATAATAAAATTAAAATTAATGATAAAATATATTTAAATGTAAAAAGAGCGATCATGTGGTGAATTGTAATGAAAAAAATAATTATTTAAAAATTAGATTAAAAATGATATATAATAAAAATTTTAAATAATTTAATATTTATAAATAGGTAAAATTATACTAAAATTTTCTCAACGGAAGAGAAATTTTCACCGGAGGAGGGGTGTGGTGGTTCATCGCATCCCAAATTAGACAATTATGGCCTCATGTTTTCATTTTTAGTTCAATTATACCCTTGATTTTTGTCTCGTAAAAACCTCCAAATTTTGTGTTAATGTTTTTTATTGAATAATTTTTCATACATTAAAACTATCAAATAAATATAATATATGTAAAAAACCATTTATTAATATAATAACTTTTAGATTAATACCTTTAATTGTAAATCAATTATTATTGATTTTTAACAAAATTATTATTTGATATAAAAATAATTACAATAAATTTTAATTAATTATTAACTCATAGCTTTAATTTAATACTTTTAATAATTATTTTTTATTTTTATTACATTTCATCTCATCATCACCGTTATATTTATATTTAAATATATATTTTATTATTAATTTTAATTATTATTATAATATTTAATTTTGTCGTTACATTAATTAATCCCATTTTCACCGTTCATCTAAATTGGTTGATCCGAAATCTCAGGTCTCGCTGAAGAGGAAATCTCAAGTGAAAAACCAGCCTGAAATCATATGAAAAGAAAAAAAAGAAAACTAAAATAAGGAGAAGGGAGTCTAGCTCATACACAGTAAGAACAATTCAGTTCGTGGGAAGTCCTTTTCACCTTGGACTTGGCTTCAAGTCACAGTGATGAAATGTGGGCATTGTCAATGCTGTCCATGCAGGCTTTAACAGAGCAGAAGCAGCCCAGGTCCACTTCTGTTAAGGCTAAATTATTGGTGGCATCTTTTCAGTAACAATCAGGATTCAGACTTATTGAAAACGTGCCTTTTTATGGCTAAATCATTAGATTTCTTTCAATTTCAACCACAACTCTTCCAGAATCCCTATTCAACTTACAATTACAATTTCCTATTACATTCTTTTGTTTCCTGTTTGATTTCGTTCCTTTGTTCTTAATCACAAAACCGTGGTTGGAATTCAGGATATAGAATTCGACATTTTTATTAATATTAAATTTAATAATTTATGTATCCATATTTTATAAAAATATTTACAATTTATATCATATTTTAAATTTTTTATCGTATTTTAAATTATCAAATTTGATATGAACATAACATACACTCGTTTGAGTTGATTGAGCAGGTGGTTGAATCCTGATTTATTTTAGCTTCATTACATTAGGTATGCACTCTGCAGAATTGATTGCAATTGGCCCCCTTTAATGACATAATGCTGCACGTGCTGAATCATAGGACCTTGAAGCCATGTATTTTATCTGATGGATATTGTGCTTTGATATGGGTGTTCTTGTAAATAAATACTGCCATCAAGACATTGTTTATCTTCTTTCTCAAAGGTTCATTTCATGATATTCGCAACTTTTCATTATCAATTCCATGGCTCTAAATTGTTTCAAGATTCCTAAGCTTTCTAGCTGGATGAAACAAGTTTTCAACTCGACTCAGACTCGACTTAAAATCAAAACATATATGGAAACTATCATTGATTCATTCAATTTTTTGGCAGAAGAATGGATCTTGTAATGCCCTAAAAAAGCAATAGACAACTTCCAGACTAAGCAACCACTCAAAACCCCCATTCACAATATTAGACTGACAAAAACTAAAAGAGAAATGCTTTCTACATTACCATTTATGATCACAATGATGGGGACTTGATAACATTATTCAAGGAAACCTGTTTTTGTTAAAACAGCATTTCTCACTTTCCTCAAATCCCTCCCTTTGAGTTTTCTGCCAACACCTTCAAAAACTGAGAAAGAAGATATCTGACTCCTTGCAAGCCTCCTGGCAAGAAATTCATGTGGTGGAACCTTGGAATCGTATTCATCATAATGATCTTCTTCATCATCACTATGTCCAAAACCATTCATTACCCCATCACCATCATCACCACCACCACCACCACCACCACCGCCGCCATCATCATCATGCCATGAACCATTCCTACAAGAAACCTTCTTTGACTTGTTGCTAGAAATCTTTGACCAATCAGGAATGTTAACAGGAGCTGATTGCTGCTTAACTCCATTAGCCTCATGACCGGAACTTGAAGCAGAGCTGCCAATATTACTGCTGTTATTAGCAACAGAGAAAGTTTTTGGGATCATTCTTGCAGCACTAGGGAGGTCTCTTCTGACAGGAACATAAGATTCAATGGACTGGCCAACCTTGGATGTAGAATCTTGTCTTTCCTTGAGAACTGCCCAAACATCTTCTTCCTCAAAATCCCCATTCCTCAAGGATCTCCATACACCACTGCCCTGCCTGGAAAAAGAATATCTGTCTTCCATTGCTGAATTCCTACAGAAACATCGTCGACTTCACTTTCACATTCAAGTTTTATCCAAATTCAACAAATTTTATAGAAAGAGACAAAGGGTATAAAAAACAAAAGAATTATTGAGGTAAAAATCGAACCTCCAAAAGCAAAAGCTTTCCCAAGATTCTAAAGAGGTTATATCTGCATCATGAGAAAGAAATTTCAATTAAAAAAATCAGTTAAAGAAAAAAGCTGCCTGATTCATCAGAATCACTGTGGCTTCTAAATTCAGATATTTTAAGAATCTTACCTACAAAAATTGATACAAAACTTCTGAGATGACAGGCTTTGCAAGGGACACAAACAGGCAAAAGGAAGACTGAGGGCCGTAAAAAAAGAACAAGGTGCAAGACAGACCTTACTTTTTGTCTTTACAAGCCTGTTTTCTTTCTCTCCTTTGTAATGGTTGCCTATTGCCTCATGTATTTTCAGTTAGTCCTTGAAGAACCCAACTTTGACAGAGAAAGACAACAGAAAATAAAAAAAATTCAGGGAAATAGAGTCAGATTTGTTCTGGTTTTTTTGGTGTATTTTACTGACTTTCCTTGTAATCTTACATCACCAGGATTCTTCCAGGCTGAATCAGATATATCTGAATCTCTAAATCCATATGGCTAATGCTGTAGTACCCCCCAAAAACTTTTCATTTAAAAACAAAAAGTTGGGTCTTGACAGAATTGTAGAAATTAGTGAGCAGTTGATCCTCAGAACTGGATTGGTTATTGGTTTTCTGAGAACTGCTCTGATTAATCTATCGCTCCCACTCGAATGTAGGAAAAAAAAAACCTATGGGGCTGATATCATTATCTCATTTTATAATCTCTTGGCAAGCGTGGGGTATCATAATAAAGACAAAATTGAAAATAATTTTAAATAAAAAGAATGATTTTCTTTGTTTTTGCTTCTTTTTCCATCCTAGAACTTGATTTTGGCCATGCTATTTTGTTTGCCCACAGATTTTACACCAACCTCTATACACTATTCCTGGTAAAGATCCACATCATATCCAATTGTTTTTCTTTTTATTTATTTTGTTGACATTTAAAATTATTCCTTGGCTGCAGAGATAAATTAAAATAAACGAGCAAATTGGTGAATTTCCACTAGGATCAGTATTTTAATCTCGTTTATAAAATTAAATTAAAATATATAAAAACAAAAAAAAAACATATTATAATATAAAAAATTAACAGATTCTTGTACAAACATATTAAAATAATCAGATTCTTAAAGTCAAAAGGCCAAACTGAAAAGGCAGAAATAAACAGATTTTTATGTAAAGAATTTCAATAGATTTAGAAATAAATGTGGAGAGTTTGAAGATGGAAAAAAAAAATTTTTCTTGCAAAATATGCAAAGATTGATGTTTTTCTTTGGGATTGTTTTACTTTATATTGACTCTTTGATGATTAATATGGTAGCTTGCAGTCACCTTGGAGCTATTGCTATTCTTAGTTGGATTCTATTTCATAAATATATCTTTTTATTTATTTATTTATTTTAATTACTAATTAATGCTGCCCCTTTTTTGTATGTGTCTACCACGTTTTAAATAAAGTTTGTAATTTTTTTTTAATTTTAATAAAAATTTTAAATTAATAAATTGATAGAGTTCAATATAAAAATCAATAATATGTAAAACAATTATTAAATATATTATTTATAATTTAAATTTAATAAATACTTATTTGATAGTAAAAATTATATATATTTTTTACTAAAATATTTATCTAAAAGATATATCAAAATTTATTAATTTTTTTTTTCAAATTTTACACATCTAATATATATATTATATTACAACATACAAGATTACATAATCAAATTTGCTTATGTGGAAGCCTAAGTGGATAATCTCTTTTTATGACACATAAGATAATATTTATATTATTTTATTTATAAAATAAAATTTTTTAATAAATTATTTAAATTGAATATTTTGGATAATTATTTAAATTGAAATCAAAATCTATCTAAGATTAAAATTTTTGCATAAAATTTGAATTCAAATATATTAAATCATAATTTATCTTTTTTTTTTTAATTTAGTGTCAGTTCCAAATATATAAACTTAATAAAATTTTATTTTTTGACAAATAATTCTATTTAATAAATTATTTAAATTAAATATTTTTAGATAATTATTTAAATTCAAATCAAAATCTATAAAAAATTAAAAATTATTTAATAAATTATTTAAATTTAATATTTTTAGATAAGTTAATGAATTATTGACTAAAAAATATGTATTTTTAAAGTAATAAAAGTTTACGTCTTCATATGAAAATATGAGATATTTGAATGTTGATAAAAAAGTTAGATAAAAATATATTTTTACTTTGAAAACAAATATAATGTTTTATTTATGTTCTAACTAAAATATTTTAATATTATATATTTGGTTAATTTATTTGTTTCTCTTTAGTTCATAACTTTTTTTAATTTTACTTATATTGATTATTATTAAATATTTATATTATATTTTTTTTGTTTTATTTATTTCTTTAATGTTTTTATTCTCTGTTAATTTATTAAATATTTTCTTTTATTATTGTATATATTTAATATTGATAAATTAATATATAAATTTATATTCTCTATTTTTTTTGCTATACTTTTTATTATTGAATTTTTTTGTCTATAATGGATGATATAAGAAAAATGATAATCACTATCATATCTAACTCACAAAAAATACTATCAATTACGTTAAAAACTATTAAAATTAAAAAATATTCCAAAAAAAAAAGTTTTTAAGCATAACATAAAGAATTATTGTTTCCCTTTTATCTAAAAAATAACTTTATTTTGTTAACATATATAGAAAAAATTATTGGCCCAATATATTTGTGTAATAATTACTTGAAGTATGTAAAAAATAAGAACAAATAAAAAGCAAATGATTATAACAAAATTAATAATTCTAATATGTTGTTCAATCAAATATATATAAATATATATACACCACCCAATCAACATTATGATAAAAACAATTATTAATCTTAACTATTTAAATATTGATTCTTGATTTTTTTTTTAAAACAAGAAAAAAGAGATAGCAAAATTTTTAGTATTTAGCAAATAAATTGAAGAAAATATTTTTAATGAAAAAAAGGATTTTTATAATTCTTGAAAATTTACAAAAGTTTATACTTCTTTTAGATGAATAATATCATTTATAATATATTATGTATAAATTATCATTTAATTGTATCTTGACATTTATAAAATATATAATTATATATTATATAAATAATTAAAAATAAATTTAAAATTATAAAAATTTTAATAAAAAAATCCTGTACATTATATGGGTAAAAAAACTAGTTTAATCTATATATCAATATATTTCATTATATCGTTTTGATTTTTAATTTAATTATTTTTAATTAAAAATTTTACTTAAAAAACTTCATTTAAACCCTTTTTAATTTGTCTTTGCCTTATCCAAATTGGACTTGTAAAAGAAAGATGTGTGAAAATTGTTAGTGCAAGGATCAAGATTTAGCTCAATCTTATGCCATTATTTTTTAAGAGATAATAATAAGGTTTAGTTTAGTTTAGTTTAGTATTAAAAGTAGTTTTTACTTTCAAAAATTGATTTTGACTCGGTTCTCGTTTGGATTCTAACATATTTTAGTATAATATAACTAAACTTATTGCATCATTAGTTGAATTCAAATATCAATTAACGAAATTAAATCAACATAAAATTTTTATTAAAATTTATTTTCAATCACAGTTACATAATTTTTTTTTCAATCACAATTATAATAATTTTTATTACTGTTTTTAATCTCATCATAACCAATTTCATCGTCTATTCAGATGGAATTTCAATCTTAATACTAAAAAAAAAATATGACGTTTTAATTTAAAAGCTTAGTTTTACAATCCAAATCAAAAAGTTACTCAAAAGATACCTTACAATAAAAAAAATGTTTTCAGAATAGAAAATCACTATATTACGTTATATTTTTAATATTTTATTATTTTATACATATTTTTAAATATTTTAATAATTTATAATATTTTTTCACAATAATGTTAAATATTTAAAAATTTTAATCTCATTTTTTAAACTATAATAATAATATTAAATTAATTTAAATACATTTAAAGTTCAAAATCTAGCACTTATAACTTTTTTTTTTTAATCTCTAAATTACGATTTTCATTGTATAAAAAAGGTTGGTAGTGCAAAAGCAACCTGCTTTATGCTAAAAAAGAGTGGGCAGCGAAAAGAAATTCAATGAACCCCTCATTTTATTTTAATCAATAACAAGTAAACCACTTGATGCTTCAGCCAATTGTTGATCTATAAATGTTTCCCCGTACCTAAAACAGTAGAGCTCGATTCTCTTCCTTCAAATATTAAAATTAATTAAAAACACAATTATTATTACCATATATTCAAAATTAAATTAAATTAAATAATTTATATATTCGTATTATATAAAATAATAAAATTTATATATTTATAAAATATTTTATATAAAAATTACGTATCACAGATCATATTAATACGAAAATATAAAATATAATTTTAATTATTTTATAATTTTAAATCGTATTATTTTTATATTATATTTATATTATATCATCATATCATATTTTAAATTATCAAATTTAAATAAAATTATAAAATATAATTTTCATTATATATATATCTTATATCTTATACATTTTGTTTTAAATTCTTGCTTGGGTTTGGTGCTTTAATTATTTAAGTTGTGTTACTTGCCGGAAAGGTAGCTGTAGCAGCCATGGGCACGTGCAAAATTGGCATTTATATATTCTTCAACAAAGTCAGTGTGTTCCAACTTCAACTTCGCTTTGAAAACTACCCGGTGATTGCTGAGTTCCACTAGCTTTTTTTTTTTTTGATCTTTGACGTTCACTAAATTTTTACATATTTGTAATATTAAAATTTATATATTTATATCGTATTTTATATAAAAATTATGTATTATATTTTTTTATTAATATAAAAATATAAAAGATATTTTTTAAATTTTATTAAATTTATATATAATTATTATTAAAATTTTAAATCATATTATTTTTATATTATGTTTATTTTGTATTATTTTTAGATAACTCCTAAAGCAGTAGGGTAATTTCAGGGAAATAGCTGAAAAGGTTTTACCACTTTTAGAACACTGAAACTTATGGCAACTAAAGAGATTTTTTGGGGTTTCATTAAAGTAATGTGGAAAAAGTTACTTAAATTTCTTGTTAAAATATTATTAGCCAAAAGCTTGAGTAAGTCAATAATGGTGTCAAATCCACCTGGTTTGCACAGCACATAGATAGTTTAAGCCAAACAAAGACAAGGGAAAATTGCCATGAAATGAAAGAAACAATCATATAAAGATGAGAGAAGATAATGTAATACATTGCATGTAAAAGTAGAGGAGATAATGTAAAGAATGGTGACATTTGTTTAATTATTAAATTTTATTAAAAATTTTCATTATATTTTTAATTTTATTAATTTTTAAATAAAACATAATAAAATTAAAATTATAAATTTTATTATTATACTCTCCATTTCAAAGAATATTTTGTATAATTGCTAATTTTCATAAATTTTTTATTTTATATTAAAAAATAAGCAAAATTAAAAATGCAATAATAAATTTAACTTTAATCTCTAAGCTGCTTCATGAAAAATCTTACAAGTTAATCTCTATATGCATCATCAACAAAGGTCGATTGAAGTGGCAAGAGTCGAATATTGGATATTTTAGCATTTAAATTTAAATCTTTTCATAATTTTTTATTGATAAACGATATGTAAATTTAAAAATTTTATAAATAAAAATTTAATAAA